ATATTTGGTAGGTAAAACGACTTTCAATCTAGTTTCGATTTTTTTTTTTTTTTTTTTTTTCAAATTACGATCGTGTCCTCTTATTTCATTGGAACATCATTTCTTATTGACGACAGAAGCAGAGGGGTACAACGATTCTGAAGTCGTCACGGGAGTGGAACACGAGTCGAACTACAGAATCATCACGGCGGCAGCATCTCAGTCACCGTTCGGTCCGAGTTCCGGTAACTGGGACGACATACTGTACGAAAAGGGCGCGGATCTCGGCGCTTTGAACACCGACAGCTACAAGCTGAAGTATCGGCGAAACCGATTGAAGCAAAAGCTTCGTGAATTACGGGGCAAAGCAATGGATCTAGCCAAAGAAATGGCGAGCGACTTGAACTCGCAAGAGAGTACCAGACTGAGGCAAGTGATGAACCGTTACGAAAAGCAAATAGAGAATCTGTCGAAATTACATAACAAATTGTCCGCAGCGCTCTCGATCTCTAAAGAAGCGATCAATATAAATAACGATAGCACGAACCCTTCTGATAGCAACTATCCATGCGTAAGCTTAAACAAAAGGAAAACAGATTTTCCAACGAATGACAGTTCTCCGGTGTCGTCACCCGAGCCGCCTAAATTGTCGCCACGATCGTCGCTAGATTGTGATATCATCCTGCCGGAGGAGATACGAAACAGCCCACCAATTTTACCATTATGTCTGACTATCTCGTCGAGTCAAGACTCGGTGGAAGAGGAGTTGCAAGCCGCCGAGAGGAAAGTTTGGCCGGTGAACGAAGAATTGATGAAACCGACGATGTTTCCTACGGATTCGCTTGCTGGCAGTTTGACCGATTCGGTGAACAAAGGACCTCCAGATATCGAGACACACGCACGCGCTACGCCTCTGCTTCACGTTGACATAGAAGGTCCCGACTTCGGTGCGAACAAGAGAGATTTCAATTATTCGAAAAAAATTGCTCAACTGGCAGAGAACAATGTACGCGCGGTATGGGAAAAGAGCAGCCAGAAGGGTAAATCGATCGAGGAGTACCCTCGCTCGAATCAGTGTCATTTTATGATCCAAGAACCGGAGAAGATCAAGTGCCTTGGATTTCCCGATGCCGAGTCCGTGATAAGTTCTGTGAATAATGGCGTGGAGGTGTCGACGACTGTTCAAAAGAATGAAACATTCAAGGCGATATCTGCCAAGCAGCTCTCTTCGTCAAGGGAGCAGACGGTGCAATCTAATTTCTACAGAACCAATCAGGAGGAAATTTCGTTCGCGAAAGCTCACGAAAACAGTATGAACGCGCAGAAGGTTTGTAAGATGTAATAAACTATTCAGCCGAATATATCTCTGTTTCTGATATCATTTATATTACGGTGAAGTTTCATTTCAGGTCTCATCAAGTTCCGGTCAATCGAATCAATTTAATTCTTTACGAACGATGTTGAATCAGGAACAATTCACGTAAGTTATAAAAATGGAAAGATATCGATATATTTTATTATCTGTGTATTTCTACGTTTGCATCTCTTCAGATTACGACAGAACTATAAAGGGGAAGAAATTCCGACTGATTCTGTACAGAGGAACAGTGGGAATCATTCAATAACCGAACAATTCCCCACTCTTGGCAACTGGTTGGCTCGAATGTCGAAAAAGCAATCCTCGATAACCAAATCCAAATTACACGTCGCGGAAAACGTGCCGCTGGTACCAACAGAAAATATCACACGTGTAAGAGCAATGCCTTTAATAGAATTTTTAGATTTTCTTTCTCTTCAATGATTTATATAATACGTCGTAGCAAATTCCTGAATCTGAGAAACCAAAGATCGTTGGATCTAATATCAATAATCACGTAATAAATTCAACACCTCAACGCGGTACAGAGAAATGGCAATATCACCATCAGCAACAGCAACTGCACCATGTTGCAGCATCCGTGACTCTATCGCAACCTGTTGCGGCAGTTCCTCCTTTACGACCGGGCATTTGTCCACCTCTTCCCATGACACAATTTTATCCAAATAATTACGCTGTAAGTAATAACAAATGTAACTTAATCTTTTTTTTTTTTTTTTTTTT